ACAATTTTTGTAATTAAATAAAGAATTGTTCTTGTTGTTATTAAAATTTCATCCACCACTAACAATTGACCAATTTTAAGTAACCGAAGGTTTAATTTAAGCAGTATTTTATGAACAAAATTCTTAATTTTTGTTATCATTAACAATGTTAATGAATCCATATCAAAATTTATGGAAGCTTCAATGGTATTACTAGCACTGCTGCTAATAATAATAGCTTAATAGTATTAAAGTAATAGTACTAATAGTAGTAGGATTTAAGTTGCAGAATCAATAAGAGAATTCAGAGGATTGTTCCAAGATTTCGTTAGATTAATTAAACTGTCTGAAAGAACATGGTTTACACCCGGAAGCTTCGAACGGTTTCAACTAATCAGGATTTCTTCCAGATCAGCCGGTCGTAACAACGGTACATTTTGCTTGGTCACCAGTGTTTGTGCACGCTTTTAGCAAATTAGAATGGAACCGATGAAATTTTAACGTTTCATCGATCCTCCATGTGTCTGAATGAAATCCATGTTTTTTTTATTTTTTCGCAAATATCAATCCCCTGTCTGTTCCTTTTATTAGAAATTTCGACTCAAGTTTGCATATCAATATTAATTACTAATTACATTGCCAATTATATTTATCCCATTTGGCTTTCAGTTTTATTTATTTTTCATATTGTACCTTCATAACTAATCTTTCATTGCACTATTATAATATTGTAGCGTAATTTTCATACTATTATTATACTCTCACAATTATTGATATAGATTATTTAAATTATTATAATATAAATTACAATTAAGAATTAAATAAATTTAATTATTTTATGAGAGTTCAATTGTTATACGATTATACTTTTATACTCTCTTTACTGTTATACAATTATGCTGCTGCTTATTACTGTACTATTATAATTGTTAATTTGTTAATTAAGGTATATAAATGGAAAACGTATATATATATGGATAAGGTATTTCTTGTATCTTTCGGGATATCTTCAACATGTCTGCTATTTGAGTATTTAATTCCTGACAATTTCATCTGTTACAAAGCTCGAATCAATATGGAAAGCATAGAGCAATATATCTGGTTCGAAGGCACCACGAACCAATGTTTCGAGTATCTCTTCCACATAAATCGTTGTCACTTTCATTATTTACAATATTTCACTGTGGTCGAAGTTTCTTTCAATGAAACTTCAACTCTGACATATCTATATTAATAATACCATTCTTTAGACATTAATAATACTATTCAATAAATTTTAACTTTCTCTCTAATCTGTAATATCCATTGAGTAATTTTTGTAGAATCTACTCTCCTGAATACGAATCTGTAATCGAAATTGCACTATTATCCATAGTTTTTGAAAACTGCAAATTTCTACAAAAAGTTCATTAATTGATACGATTTTTCGCCACAGTAGCGTATTCTATAGGCTTTTCTGAAAATGAAAATTCAAAAACAATATTAGGATGATGTTGAATATTGACAGGATGTAAAATATACATCGGCAACCTGTATGCAGGATTTTTCCGCCACGGAGCCATTGCTCGGACATCTAGCTTCGTCAGAGCCGTGATCACGCGTAATAAACATCAAAATCATCGTCCGGTAAATCTCATTTTTCTATGTATATAACATATATATATGTTTTCATATACTCTTTTATACTAATCGTAAAATTATAAGAAATTTCATTAAATTACATGCAACTCGAAACAGTTTCGTTATTCGGTACATAAATGAATTCACAAATGATTCTTTAATATAAAGTAGTTAAAAAATAATTTCCAATCCAACTTTTATGATGAGAATAAATCTTCTAACGCCTTTACTTTTCGCAAGTATAGCGTGTAAAAAGTGTGAGTATTGGTTTTATGAAAGTGTGAGTGTTGATTTTGTATGTGCCTATGATTATGAAAGTGGCCTAGGTCACTTATATTTGCTTCTGAAATATTAACCCTTTGCACTCGACGATTTTTTGGCTAGAGAAGAGTAGAAATTCAAAGATTTTCTACTAAAAAACTGACGATACCTTTTTAAGTAATAAATAAGAAATTGTATAATAATAGAATTGTAGAATTATTTGACTTCGATACCTCGTATACCACTACATTACATTAAATTTGGTATAATAATTAATATCTATCTTCCAAATTTTATGAAATAGTGACTGAAGCTCACCCCTCGAGTGCAAAGGGTTAAATTTTGATGACCAGTTATAATTATTACAGAAATACAAATAATTATAATTATAAACATTGATAAACTTGGGACACTCTCACCTAACTTTTAAGATAAGAATGAACCTATTAGCTTTCATACTTTTTACGTAATACTTCAGTTTAGCAAAAATTGAATTTTTAGAAAAAACTCACAATTTTCGAAAACTGAGAACGATGGAGCAATTTCGATTACGTATTCGTGTTCAGGAATGTTAACCCACCAAAAATTACCCAATTGATATTACAGACTGTAATTCGCGTTGAACAGTGTAATCAATTCATATTAACTTTAAATGAGAATATTATTTATATTGAAATTAAATCACGTAATAATTAAATATTCTAATAAAAATTAAATAATTTATTTCTACATTTTTTAATTTTAACTTAAAATTCGAATACACAGATCGTTTCAATTCATAAGTTTAAAACGATTAAAAGTAGAGAAAAGATTCATTAAAGAAAATTTAATTTATCACATATAAATTTAAATAAGTATATATATTCTTCGCAGCCTATAAAATTAATGCAAATTATGAAATACGATATTGGAGAAACTCAAACATTCTTAACTAATTCCATGAATTTTCCAAACAAATCCGCGTGCTTTTACCTTAATTGAAATTTCCGGATATAAATAAAATCATTTGGTAATTTGTACCATCGAAGTCATACTTCAATTTAAATTTACAATTAAAAAGTTAATAACGAAAATATGATTTTTCAAATTAAAACCGTAGATAAACACATTCTGATTTCGTTCGACGTAACTAGTACGTTCGTTAACGAAAGTACAAAATGGAAAAAAACGCGCGAATATTCATGGTGACGAAAAATACACGGAATCAGGATGGAGAGCATTTAATTACTTAAAAGACACGGTACATACGTCTGTACATAGTTTGTCAGGTACAACCATATAATAAAGTAGGACATGAATGGTACTAACAAACTTTCACGCTTGGCAAAACTTGGGGAAATATAATCCGAGCGACTCACTTCCGTTTCCTCGGTTCTCGACGATTGCACGTCAGGTGCGAATGTAAAACGTGATTCGCACAGGGTCGCCTTCCAACTTTTAATAAGTAAGAAATTCTGAGGGTGTTTCTAGCACGGAATAACTCCACGACGATTCTCTGGGTAGCGTCCAGCGGATTACTTTTACGAAATCTTAAAACTGCCTTATTTAACGAACTTTAATTAATGCAACAACCAATTATTAAGTGAGATATTTTATCGAGAGCAATGGAATTATTTATCGTTGAATTTGTTAAAATTTTTCATTTTTTGTAAAAATTGTCATGATAAATTTTCTCTGAGAATTCTATATATATTGACCTGATAGAATAGCATGGAGAATAGTTATAATTGATTAATTAGTATAATAATAGTAAATAAATATTAACCCTTTGCACTTGAAAGGCGCCTCTCAGTCGACATTTAATCAGAGTCTAAAGATGCATGTTAATTAATATATCAATTTTACAATTACCCAACGATGCGTGGAATATCGAAGTAAAATAATTCTACGTCTCAATTTGCATACGATTTCCTATTTCTTGTTTTAGAAATATCGTCGACTTTATGGCAGAAAGTCTTCGAATTATTATTTTCCTGTAAAGAAAAGGTCGTCTAGTGTAAAGGGTTAATACACCAGTTAACGAGTGCATTAGTCAATACACTATTTCATCCAAATTATAGGAAAATAAAATGTCACATTATGTCTTAAAATTTTTTCTCAAGAGTAAATTCGTTTCTCCTTTGGAAAATTTAATAACAACTTTTGACTTATTATTTTATTAATAAAAATTAAATAGAGAACGTACAAATTATATTTCGGAGACGTAACATCATAAAATAAATTTCAAAAATTTCAGTTTGAGAAAGGTGTTTTAATAAATAATATACTTCAATAAAATATAAGAAATGGAATAAAATGAAATAAAATGTATCGTACCTTTTCGAAACAAGAATTTATAATTACTTTATTTTCATTTCAAAAATTGTCGAGTGCAAAAGGTTAAATTAGTATAATAATAGTATGATAGTATAATACAATAGTAATAAGCAATACAAAATTTATTATTATGCAGTATAATAATACTAACGATTCAAAGTTTTCAAAAGTTAATTAAAAGATATATAAATTGATGAAGACTCAGTAAATATCTGGAATATTTTTCAATGCACCTGGTACTATAATTGATAGAAGTAGATGTAGATTCAATGTAGGAAGAGTTCGGATATTAATTTTTATAATGTCGATATAAATATTTTTCTATATTGTTATGGTCTTTTTTCTTCGACGTTTTGTTTAATTACGATCAATAAGGGTTCATGCAGAAATTTTGTTCTAAGAAAAGATGCTCTTCAAAACAGAATCAGCATTTGGTGCTTTAAGTACTTTAAACTTAAAAAGTTTCGCCTTATAAAATTTTAAATTCGTATTTCAAAATTTAAAAAATTAGTTTCGACTCCACCCCAAATATACCTCAATCTCTATATATTTAATTAAAACGATATATTTCCAAATTTAGATAATAAATTTTCTAAATTTATTTTAAACTACCTTAACAGAATCTCATTTTTATGCTATTTATTTTCCAAATAACCTAACAAAATAAATTATTTATTTGGTCATTTATTGTTCAATTATATTGAAACTTAATTAAAGAGAACGAAACATGTTCTATATTATTTTATTACGATACAGGTTAATAGGTTTGTTTAATATTTATCGATTCGTAAGCAGAATATAAAATTGCGAGGGGTAGTACTTACAAGAACCCTGGTACCCAATTCTCCAAAAACACGTATCGGCGGCATCTCTTTGGGAATGTATCGAAAAAATTCAGGACCCTTGTACCATTTCACCGTGTATAAAGTATCTGATTGTAGATCGTATCTGCAGCTCATATTGACGGTCGTGCCAGCTGCTACAGCCAATGGCATATCGATAGATACATTCCTGAGCCCGCGTACACCTGAAAATAAAACAAAGCAATATGACTTCCATACCGTCATCTATATTAATATATTCACTGCCAAATGTGCTTCTGCATACTTTAATGTCAGACCTGTGGAAATAACCGAGATGATCAATTGCGAACTTTTTTCTAGATGTTATTTAAATGTGAAAAGGTATCAAAATTTTATGTCGGATCTTCTGAAGCTGCATTTTTAACAGTTTGGTATAACAGGTATATGAATAAATTTTTAGAGTTATATGAATATATAGTTTGAGAGATTTGTCATTCCGAATAGCTTTGCGCAGAATTGGCAATTCTGGAAATAATAATTGAACAATTTATAAATGTTTTAAATGTAGGTATTTTTCTCTTCTTTCCTTAAACAAATTTCTTGTTAAACTGGTAACAGCAACTCAAACATCACAGTAATCGAATTGTGAAAATAATAATTTAGAAAATTTATTCTTAAAAATTAAAAATTTTAAGGGTATAATAATTATAAAAAAATGGTTAATAATTACTAATTTATTATAATGATTAAATTAGTAATTAAGTTATAAAATATATTAAAGGAATTCGGCAAAAGAAATAATTTATATTTATATTCACCTGTTTAACAAAAACATGTCTTATAGAATTTAATTTTAAGTCAATCTGCTCAATGAATTTATTTAAATAGCTGCAGTGTATTGACTGTACAAAGGTAGCATAATCAATGATCTTATAATTGAAGAATGGAATGAAAAAATTAATGAAATATATACTGTCTCTAATATATTATATGAAATTAAATTTTTAGTTGAAATGCTAAAATTTAATTATGGGAAAATAAGACCCTATAGAATTTTATATAATTGAAATTTTTAATTTAAATTTTATATATTTAAAATTTCGAATTGTGAAGTATATCTCATAATGTATATCTTGAAAAAATTAAAGAAATTAAAATGATATAATATTGTTGAAATAATATTTCATGAACTATTTTAAACATAACTATCAATAAAAATCTACTATAAAAATTTATAAATTTTCGAATCTATAAATCACATAAATATTCAAATTATTAATATTTTATTTAAATTTCCAAGGAACAAAAGAGTGTATTTTATTATGCTTGAATAGGGTTTCTCAAGTTTATCTAACTCATGGTGTCCTTTTGAATTAAACTAATTATCTATATACAGCTTATTGATAACATAATTATTTATATTATTTTTATATATTTTCGTTAATTAACGTTAATTTATCTTTCGTTGCTTATAACAGTCTTAAGACGTTCTTCCATTTAACTCACTAGCGCCACCATGGTCGATATCTGCATTAAACATTTTTTGCTAATGTTTCTGGCATAGTCTTGGAATTTCCTTCTTACTACGCATCGTTTTAAATGTTTCACACCAACGTAAGTACATATTTCACTCGTTGAAAATAACAAATGTAAGGGTACGAATACTTTTTCGTACGAGTGTATGTACATTTGTCACGCAGATAAGGAGCTCTCGAACAGCGACGCTGTAGTGCTTTTTCCACGAGTAACTTAAGCGACAAGCATTTATCCCATAATAACTTAAACAGACAAGTACTTACGAAACTTTCTACGTAAGCTTGGCAACGTCAGCGTCAACGTTAGTCGCCCTTGGGATTACGTTCGCGAAGAAAAGAATCGCGCGAAAAGGGCAGGGAAAAGTTTCGACATTGGCGTCGACTTTTAAATATCACCCAGGGGAACCATGCGGTTTATTCCTTTTCTGCGCGTAATGGTATGCGCTTTCAACTTTTGTCGCCTAATGCTCTTACACAGAAGTATCCGAAACTCTCCGTTGCGTTAAATTCTAATCACAGTCTCGGGGTCCACCCTCCGCGCCAGAGTTTAGTACTTGGCCTTTAACTGGGCAAATTAAAATTTACGTTTATCCGAAATAATGATTTCCGCGGGAAATACGAAGCTTTGCTCGATGTAACATCCAGCTGATATTTATGAATTCGCGAGGAATATTCCATGCTCCGGGTAAACACACAGATAAAATGTAACCTTTGTCAGGGTGTACGAATGTACAGGCTGTTCTAAATGTTAATCAACTGCTTCGGTCGAGTAGTCATAATAATTGGGATGAACTATAGTTGTATTCCAGGTAAAATTAAGAAAGAACAATTTTTCTATTTTATTTCTGCAGTTGGTTATAAAAATATTTGGACACTGACATAATTTTGACATCTATGCTCTACATCTAAAATGAATATACAGAAAATAATAAAATTATTTTACATTATATTACACTATAATATATAGATACTAGAATGTAAAATATTTTTAATTATATCTACGATTGTTTAAATATTTAAGGAAATGGCAGAGAAAAATGATTTCTCACATCACAAAAATATTCGAAAACTTAATAAAAAGTTAAAACAAATAAAATAATTTTTTATAAAACATAAGTATTGGCTTTGATAATTCCATAATTCGTTATATGTTTTAGATAAATTAATGCTTAATTAGATAATTAATTAGATAAATTAACTAATAAATAAATAAAATAGTTAGAGAAATATTTTGTTTTAATAATGTACTCCAAGTTTACTTTTGTTCTTGAAAAATATATCAGTTTTCTAATAATTTAATTAACACAAAGTTAAGTTGGTGTGTGTAAAGTCGATTAAAAGAGACAACATCGAAACTTTCTGTTAATAGACTGTTAATCTGTTGCCAAATCGAAGTAATTGAATAAAAATGTTATTATTTTCGTTTTGGTATGTACCATCGTTGAACCACGATTTTTAGGCTACCTTATGTAATGGGAGAAATGAGAACAAGAAACTCTTTAATATGCATAGAGTGTTTTGATGTTTAAAATTATATTTACAAGAAATATACGTAGGTACTCAACATGGGGTGTATTACTTTATTATTTTAAATGAATTGTTTTTATATGTATCGATCATTCTCTCGAAATTTATTGAATCACGTTTCATTATTATTAATTATAACAAAAATTTATATAGAATCTAATATATAATATAAGAAATAATTACTCCTCAAACTTATTTTAAAATTATTAATCATTCAAAATTAATTCATATTTATTTAATTGCTATTAATAATAACAAAATTCGAGTGATACATACTACAACATGATGTGTGTAATAATTATAATTCAAATTTACTCTAACATTACTACTTTTCATTATTATTAATGATAACAAAAATTTATATAGAATCCTATATATACTATAAGAAATAATTACTCTTGAAACTTACTTTAAAGTTATTAATCATTTAAAATTTGTTCATATTTATTTAATTGCTATTAATAATCAAAATTCGAGTGATACATACTACAACATGATGTGGGTAATAATTATAATTCAAATTTACTCTAACATTACTACTTTTCCAAAATCTACTCGAAATTATTTTATTAATATTAATAATAACAAAATTCAAGTAATATACAATACAGTAGAACATAAAACGAATAATAATTACTACACGATATATCAAGAATTCCAAAACCACCTACTACCCTAACTCCTCCTTACAACCAAATAAACCTAAGCAATTTTCTATCTGTTTCTCCCTATAATGGAAATAATTAGCAACGAACGACTTTATTCTTTCTCTTCCACTAATTCAATCTAAATATCTGTCCACACGTGTACTATATTATCCCATGCAATAAGACCCCAGCATCTTGTACTTATGATTAGACCCATAACAGAATGAATATGCAATGTCAACGCCCATGGCGATGTTTGCACACTCGCGATAAGAGTACATGGTGTATTCTTTTGCTCGGTAATCGCCAAGGGGTTGAAGAGTTTGTCCCTTTCGTCGGCATTTCGGCTTAAGGGAGAAAAAATCTGTCGCAAGTTAAACGTCTAGCCTGGTGGATTTGCGAGATCAGCACGCGATGGTACGTGAGTGGCATTCGCAATGTTGGACTAACGTAGCTCAGCTTCATCATTAATTAAGCGTTTTTTATGGCAACCCGGGACTTGTTAATTATTCATGATACAACACAGAGGCAAACCATTGTACACGTAACGCAATTAATTGCTAATTGATCTAACAAATAATTATATACTATATCAAGCATGATGTACGTTCCCTATTCTTCCATGTTTCTGTCTTTCCAGATCTCGCTTATATTTATAGCGGAATTATATTCGTAACAGGTACAAGTGTTTCGGTTCATGGGAACAAATGTTCTCATCGTAACGAAGGAATATTCAGTTTTATGGAATTGTGAAATATTGTCTTGGAGAATTAACACATTCGGTGGTATTAAAGTAAGGCTACTGTTGTCTCAGAGCTGTGCATTTCTTTTGTCATAAATGTTCCTGACTTAAGTTGCGTTTTCGTAATAACTTTGGGCATTCAAAGTGGTTTTGTGATAATAATTTTTATTTCTTAAATAAAAGTTTTCATAGTACTGATCTTTGTAACAATACTTTCTGTCGCTTAAAATATTTTTGGGATAATAATTTTAATTTGAAAAAATATTTGATACCGATAATCTTTCCTTTTTCTTAATGACTTTGTAATATTAATTCTTATAATAATTATTTAAATAAAAATTGTATACTGATAATCTTTCTTATTCTTAATCTCTTTGCAATATTAATTTTTATGACAATTATATTTTACTTTTTCTATGTTTTCGTAGTTATTATTATGAAAAAATTGTGTTAGATTGTAATGTTATAAATTTTCGCATTTTTAAATATTTTTGTCATCGTAATTCTTGTAGTAATAATTACGTAACAATATCTTGATACATTACTCGTTGTTTTACTTGTCTTTCCAACACTATAATTACCAAACTAGTAAAAATAACTGGTTACAGACATGTTATTCTTCGTGTTACAGAAAACGAAGAGTTTCTTCTGACAGAATTAATGGTGACTCTTATTGAGATAGAAGAGCAGATAGAAACGTAATTATATATACTTATTTGTTTTTATCGTACAACGGTAATTATTATTATCTGTATGTACTATATTACACGTTA